CCCTAACCCTAACCCTAACCCTAACCCTAACCCTAACCCTAACCCTAACCCTAACCCTAACCTAACCCTAACCCTAACCTAACCCTAACCCTAACCTAACCCTAACCCTAACCCTAACCTAACCCTAACCCACCAAATCAGTCGGAAAAGAAGCAAAATTGGGTTCCTTTTTTGTTAGAAACCGATTTTTTCCCCCTCTGCGTATCTCTAGCAAAGTTCTCTAAACTGTCTTAAATTATCTATAGACAGAGGGCCACTCCGACATTTTGACGAAATTTTCAGGCAGTCACACCTCCCCTGGTGACGCGACGAAACCAAAATTTCGTCGCGTCGGTCACAGGTCACAGGGTGCGACGAATTGATTGGATTAGTACAGTATACCCTTCCCGTGTTGACGATGTTTCCCACTGCCACCGCCTCCACTTTACCTAATTGAGACGTTTGCGCTGCCTCAAGTGGCAGGTGCCCAAGTCTTTCACTAAACCTCGTTTGACTCATCGAACCTGCACCTTCTCCCCCCTAAGGCTGTACTTCACCGAAAACAGTGTCTTGGATTGTTAGTCATGAGGTTGACACATGGGCGTCATTCGGCGCCGATGATCCATCTCCCGTTCTAGTGTGAGCGATGTTCAGGAGCACGATTGCTCTATTCCTTCAATTATCCCTTCAAAGCAGCTAACGTTAGGTGTCGATTGATACTGAATTGGCCACGACTCGAGTCGCCCTGCGTGCGTGCCCTAAAATCAAACATTCCCACAGGGGCAGTGCACATTGGAACTGTTGTGCAACTTCAAAGAGAATTACAACAGAATCCGCGGAGAGGACACAGACATGTCAATGTGCGGGTACCTGGAAACCAAACTTCTGGAATAAAGTTGCTGTTTAGATCATGAGAACGCGACATTCAATCAGTACAACTGCGAATATGGAAACAACCGCACAAGATCCCCAAATACCCGCCTCATTCACCTATATAAACGCAAAAATCCTCTCATCCTCCCAGCCATGAATTCCGTCAGTCTTCCCGATCCTTGTCTCACAGCTCAGACGATTCGTACTGGTCCCGTTGACCCAGACGTAGGAGGAATTGCAGTAGGAGTGTCCAGTATGTTCTATGTCTTCGAAAAATCAATCACTTCTCTGACGTCCGTATAAACGCAGACATCGCCATTAATATTCTACTTCGTATGTGATCTTTCCGAAACTTTTCAAACGTATGCCACATCTCGGGATAATAGCGATCCTCCTACGCTGGTCAAAACATGACTTGAAGACCTCAGTCTTTATGCTTTTGTCTCAAGTTTATCCCATTTTGATTGCAACGGCGTCAAGCATTGGGAGCGGGAACCTTTCCTTGTTCGATGCCCATTACGCGGTCGCCGTTACTGCTTCTCCCATAACCGTCTACCTCGTCTATTCTTCATTTCGAGACCTTTTCCTCGGCCCGAATACTCTTTTTGAGAAACTTATGTCGTCTAAGGCCGTTGTGCGGTACCTCGGCCTGATCCTACCCTTTCTCTGGCTCTTTGTAAGTCTCATGACATCTTTCTACACAAAGGCCTTCAGCAATAGTCCACTTTGCCGGGGAATGACACTATCTCTGTGGACCGAGTTCCAACTCGCAAGTAACTTTATCGGCGTCCGTGATGGGTAAGCGTGATCTGATAGACGACATCGTGCAAAGAGGAGGGTTGGGAATGGTGTCGCTCTTAGGCCTCTGGATATACGGAATCTATCTAGTTCGCCACAGATGCGACATATTTCAAAAATACCAAACCTGGCAAAATAAATTACAACATCTCCCAACGTGGAAGCGAATTTTTCTCACGGTCTGGTATGTACCAATGGCATGTTGGTAAGTCATTTGATTTTAACACGCCCGACGGGATAACATGAGATTGCTGGCAGGTTCGTTATTGCGAAGTCACACCCGTGGATGATATTCCTCATTGTTTTGTGTTTTCACTGGAGTTGGTGCCTTGGGATAGCCAGGGGGCTAACATTCGATGGTTATCAATTCAATTACGGCCAGGTAATATTGAATGGTGCGATGATAACTATATGCATTTAACGATATTGCAATTCTAGGTGACTTCGGTCTTCTCTATAATACCGCCCTTCCTTGCTGTCGGCGAATTGCTTGTCAAGCGATCGAGCGACATATTCGATTACTTCAAGGGCATGCCCCAGTATTTTTGTACTGGTGTCAGATTTTTACTGACTGGGCGACCGAATTCCCGGGAACAAGATCTTTTGGAAACACGGCGCGCTTCAAATTCTTGGTCACCCCTCCAATGGTTAGGTGGTAAGTCGAACACCAAACTGTGTGTGTCAAAGCTGAGACGTCAACTAGTCCTCGTTGTGTGGCTCTCCGTTTCGGGACTTCAAGCTGCCTGGATTTTGGGATGTGTGTATCTGTCTCGTCCGAACTACGAATGACAAACTCTGATCCTCCTCCCTTACAGACGTGGAAGGAGGGTCAAAACCCAACCTCCGTAACATAGTGACCGCCCACCACAAGTTGTGGAAACCGTTTTCAATATCTCGTACAGTGTTCATTGCGCTCATCGCTCTAATACCCGCCCTGACATTGTCAATCAGTGTATGTCAATGGATACATGGTGTGCGTCATCAACATCCTGGTGTGGACCAGTTACTTCGAGCACGTAAGATGGTGGAAGACCCGTGAAACGATGGCAGCGTCCCCAATTGACAAGTTATATAAAACATCTATCAAGTATATGAAGAGGACCTTGCATCTCATAATCGTCCTTCCAATTGCCTTCGCCATGTGCGCTGGCCCATTATTTGCCCCATTCGCTGGCTTGCCCCTCGCCCAGCAGGTAAGACGAAAAGCCTTTATTCGAATACCCCTGCTAACGATACACAATTACAGTACCAATGGACGCACGTTTGTGACTCCTTCGCCGGAGAAGCAATCATCCAATCACCCTCCCTCGGTTCTTCTCGAAAACCTCTCATGTCATTCTATTACCCCCAAACCCCAGACTCAACCGCCAAAATCCACTATTTTGACTACGTTATGGCAAATGACCCAAACACAACGATCCAAACGCTCTCATTCGCCGGCGCAGTATCGCAAGGGGTCATTCCAGCCGACCTCTGGCCAGACATCCAATCCGTATCAATCGCCTCCCCCGGAAAAAGCAACTCCATCTCAGCGCAATGCGCAACGGCAGGCAACTCGTCCATGGTTCCCGTCCCATGCATGACGGGGACTTATCAAATATCGCCGTATCTTAATTTCTCACTGCAAGATTCTGGAAACACCACTTATCTTCGAGCGGTCGATGAAGAGTGGCAATTTGTTGATGACGCTCCAAGCTTTGTCCTTCGATACTCCTCGCCAAATCCACACCAGCCACTGGGAGGCATAGCTATCCAGACTGCTGTCACGGAGCGCAACCACTGTGAGGTTCTCAAAGTTTGCCTTGGCTCCAGGAAATTGGGTTTCGATATCCTGGCTCCCCTTGGGGTAGCGTTTATATCTCAGAACAACTTCGCCGCCTACTGCACGCAGCCTCGAATCTATAACCTTTAACGATTTTTTTTTTTCGTTTTCTCTAGATCTTTCGGGTTTTTTGTCGTATAGGGAACAAGTTTGTATCAATAGTCCTAGTCAATTTCGAGTTATGCGAGCTAAGTTATTTTACGAAGACCATATTATAACCCTTGATGACCCTTGATGCCAACATGTCTGAGTTTCAAAGGAACAGCAGAGTCGACAGGCTGTAGCATGTGAGATACTCAGCACCTTCAGACTTATTATGATCAGCCTCAGAGTCGAGATTCTGTATATCTCAAGTTCTCAGCCAATTTTTCCCCATAGCACAAGATGGCTCCAGGCGCCGTAGAAAGCGACGCTCTGCAAGCAAACAGGAGTGTTTTAAAACTCAGACATGTTGGCATCAAGGGACATCAAAGATCATACTAAGCTCATATGTCTTCGTAAAATAATTGAGTAGGACTACAGTCATCCACCTGCTAATGATTCACCCAAAATGAGAAATTAGCTTCAACAGATTTGAGCACAACCTTTCTCTACAGAAACTACATGAAAATCTCTGATAAATGCCCTTCTATGACCATACCAAATTTCAGAATGTTTGACCCACATTTCACAGAGAAAAACTAAGATTATGGGTGTATCATTGAGGGGTGTGACTGTATTTGGCTATTCCTGAAAAACAGTCCATTTTGTATGCTCCACGGCTTTGCCAATTCTGCCTCAATTGTATCCAAATTATGTACAGTGGTAGATATGAGTTTGTACTATGTGTTACAACTTGTTTTGTGAGAATCGGTCTAGTATTGAGCGAGATATTTGCTAGTCAAAAGTGTATCAAATGGGGGTGGTGTATCATTAAGGGGTGGATGACTGTAATAGAACCTACAAGCAGTTGTTACGTGCATATGTAGATTGAAAACAGCCCAAATGCTTCAATTTGATGTGCAGCGAAGGGACCTCCGATTCGATGAACAGTAATCATTCTAGGAGAAATCTCCTCTCTATTTAAGAAGGAGTTGAAGCGGATCGACGGCGGAGAGCGCGGTAGCTATGGAGCGAAAGAACAAGTTTAGGGTGATGAAGGCAACTGAGTTTGCCGGGAGTCGAATTTCGATTCCTACAAAAAGGGTTTGAAGCTGCGTAAAAAAATACATGCTACAAGATTGCAAAAGGCGAAGGTACAGCTGCAATGAAAATACAAGTGATTCTCCGAAAAAACTCGGGAGACGGAAATGCTTCACCCAGATCGCGTCGTCTTCTTCACGAGTCCCATCTTCATCGCCGTCCAATCCCAAATTTCTTCACGAGCGAATGGGATTCAGGGCTACAAAATAAAACGAGGTTCAATCTCCAAGGAAAGTGCGAAGGGGAAATTTTTGAACTTGACGCTATGAGTGGGTAAGTTAACCCCATCTCCACTGCCTCCTTCATCAAGGCCGCCATTAACTGCGGACCTGCATGCTTAACAGTGTTTTTGCCAATTGTGCTGCTGTTGATAAAGTTGAGGTCGACGATAACGACAGCGATGTGGATGTAGAAGCGCGGACGCGGAGCTTGGATAGCGAAGTGATAATGAACGATTCAGTGAACACATGGGAGATCCCGTTGGTCGTGCTGTTTCGAGTCTCTGAAATATACCCGACGATACACTATACATATGTTTCAGAATTGAGTAAAGAAGGCCAACGAGAAAACTCACCAGCTTCCCATACTAGCGACGAACCTCAGAAACAATTCAAAATATGAGGATGGCGTTCCCTAACCCGTCAAAGCCGCAATCTGAGAACTAGAAATGATGATCAGCACGGGTAACATTACAAGTAAGAGAGGCTTAGGAGCACACGATTAAGACGCAAAAGGTAACATCGTTGATCTCGATGGTCGATGGTGTGTTCGGAACTTCGGCCATCGTAGCATGACATATAGAAAAGAGGAGGAATGGGTGCTTGGTTCAAGAAGACGCAATTAAAGGGGAATGATATATCTGTATTGCTTGGATGGGAGCCGGGGCAGGTGCATAAATGATAGAACGTTGATGTGGGAGGGGTATTCGGATAGCAAGGAGTATGTGATGGTGGCGAGAATAGCGACGACGAAGAGGGAAAGGAAAAAATAGAAAGAAAAAGAAAAACACGCAACGAAACTCGATATGAAGCTCATCCTCCTCCTCCTCCTCCATCCTATGCGTGGGTGAAATCGCCGCACTCAGCAGGAATTTTTATTGTTTGCCGGCATCGTCCTCCTCGCGAGTCGCTCCTGACATTGTGTTTCTCCCAGCTGGCATGCTTCTCCCTCCTACGACAAGGGTGCTTTCTCCCTTCACCACCCGCGGGCGTGCTCCACCTGCACCAGCGCCGTTCTTCCCTTCAGCGGCAGTGACGCCCCTGTCCCCCACACCCGCCCGACTCTTTCTCCCTACCCTACCCTCCCTCCCCTTGCAACAATTGAGAGCGGCAACTACTCCGAATCGCCATCCTCCATATCACGCTCCTGTTTACGCTCATGTTCAGCATCCTCGCCCTCCCCTTCGTCTGAAGGCGGAGGGTGTGACCTTGGAGGTTTGCAACTACGACGTGTGGGATGTATGCGTGTGTGAGTGCGGCGGATGAGATGGGCCTGGGATTGGGATTGCGACTGCTCCCTCCCCAAATTCTGCGATTGCGGGGGATGCGAAAACCTTCCCCTTCCGCCATAATGTGTAAGAGCTGTATCCGTCCTATGTATCGATCGATCCGACACTTGGGAAAGCGGGAGCTGCGACATCTACCCCCCTCGTGAAGGCTGTTGTTGCTGACGCTGGTGCATGACCACCATTCGCTGTTGCGTCTCAAAGATTCCACGTGTTTCATTCATTTCCTGATGGGGAGGGGTTTCGTCAGCCCGAGCCGGGTTTTGGAGGAGAATGAGATGTAACACAGAAAGAAAGAAAAGGGGAGACCCCTCGACAAGAATATTACCCCTTAGAAGAGATGGGATTGGAAAAGAGAGAAGAGTGAAGGACCGAGGGAAATAAGAGGAATCAAAGGAAGAGATTACAAAGACCAGAAAAAACACGCGAAAAGAGACCCAGCGATGTCTGAGGATCGAGCAGCAAGAAAATGGACTCACCTCCTGCTCCTGCGACCCCTCCGGCATCCCCAGGCAAAGCATGCACACCCCCACTAACCGCATATTTTGGCTTCTTCAATACGCCCGTAACGTGGCGCGAACATATGCGTCTGATACTGCTGAACCTGGCCCTGCTGAACCAGGGGACTCGGTTATTATCTTCCTCCCGGCTGATACGCATACTCCTTGTGCTTGTTGACCCCGATAAACGTACACGCGCCTACAACCACTCGTACCATCCTCGCCGTGCGTTCGTGAGTGGTGTCGTAGATGCGGGGAACCATCATGACTTTTCTCGTTGTTGGTGAAGGAAGACTGGACATAGGTGTGGTTGATTCATATCGATGCCCTTGATTTCATTGGCGGTAGTAGCGCGGAGGGGCATCTCATGCAACATCCGCTAGAGAGGCTTGAAGACGTCGAATACGGTCTACGCGAATGTACATGGTGCGGATGATGCTGATGGGAATGTGAATGTGGAGAGTGCCGGTGATGATGATTTTAGGAGCAGAAGCCGGTGGTATTGTTGGGCGCGGGGATCCATGGTGCGAGTGCCTACATGAGTGTCCGGTGGAAGTGTGGTAGGCGCCAAACGCGATCGATCCAAAGGTGGGTTAGGGTTACATCACTTCTCATTTTCTATCTCATGAACGCTAACCTGTGAGTAGAATTTGCTCGAACTTTCTCTCCTCACCCTCTTTACTTGCTGTCCTCAGTACCGATTTATCGCCCGAGCACCAACCTTCAACAGACTGTCCAGGAACGAATGTCGTATTCAGGAAGCGGAAGCGCACTGACAGCGGAGATACTCCTGGCCATCCTCAAACCGCTCATTACAATCCGAGAAAGACCATGATAACGTTCAACGCACACAACTTGTGCAAGGTCTTTTAGACTGTGCACCCCCGGATCTAACAATATCCATGATTCAACTTCGGTCCTCCCCTACGCACTCGCATCCGTTTGTAAATATTTACGGTCCGCTTCACGCTCGTCCAGTTCTGCTATATTCGTAGACACCATCAACCACCATCGCAGATTGACGCGCCCAGCTCTCCCCACTTCGCGACTTTCGGCACCCGCATCACCAACCGACAAGATATCAACGATTTGTCAAGATGTTACGGAGGGACCTTGGGAGGGACCGCGCGTAGGCGAGTTATGAGGCCTTTTTTACCAGCGCTGTGAGGGGTTGACGTTCTACGCTATGCACAACCTATCCATGCATCAATTTCACATGCTCTTGTCCGCTTTTGACTGAGCTATCTCCTCCCTTCCCCATCCTGACTGCCTTACCTTGACGCGCCCCGCTTTCGCTGGAGCACAGAGAAACAAAAACCGGGATCATTTCGCTTTTCCCGACTTCAGCCTTTCGACATTCTCTCCGTTATGAACAAATTTTGACAGCATCCGCATTGAGGGCCACAGGAAAAAATGTTCCAAGAGTTTGGTTTGCTCTAGGCCGCACTTCAAGCTTGGGACGAATTGAAACCGTGCATGCGATCTACCAGCGACACTACTTTCCCGATCTGCAACACGTCCACAGCATTGAGGATTCACTGTCTGTCGTTCCCACATATACTCCAACCACTGCGTCCGGTTCACATCCTCCCGAGGGCTCAGCGACTCTTCGACGGCTGCAGTATGTCCGTCAGGACCTGTTTGTTGGACGGTCGTACTGTTGCAGGTGAAGCGCGCGGATACGGGACGCATGAATATCCTAACTATGCAGCTCTCATGAACGCCTTTCTTGTCGACATCACTCCATCATCACTGAAGATTGATGAAGCTGAGAAATTCCAAGGCTTGTACCGCTACATTGCGATGCGTGAAACGTAGGCGCAGCCACAGGGAAACGTTCTTCGAAAGCCAGAAAACGGAGGGATCACTACCCAGTATTCGTTCTCGTCGCTCTTTATCAACAGCTAGACCCCGCTCAGCTTCAACTTTCTCGTCAATCGCTCCACCGTGTTTTCCGATGGTCCATGACGCTCTGGAGGGGCCGTCAAGTGGGTATTCGCAGACCCCAGAAATGTCTGGACGTGGATCTTGAGTTTGCTCTTCGGAATTCTGCAACCTGTCCACGACATTCAAGTTTTCCCAGTTGCAATCAGCTCAGACGGCCCGCATGGACATTACCAAGCTCGTCATGTCAGCGTCTCGACAATCACGTACCTGCCCTCCTTTTCGACACAAAAGAATGCAACTGCAGAGCGCCTTCGATCGCGTAATTGGAAAGTTCTGGTCGTCGGCCCCTGGTGGGCGTACTCAGCATGAGGCATGATGCATGATGCCTGAAAGGGGGCGGCTTCGGTGCACAGCGATGAAGAGATGGTGAGCATTATGGGCATCGATTACCATCCCTCGTTCATTTACAAGCTCGTGGATTCGGTACATTCGTCCCATTTTTTATGTCCCCTTTTCTATTATAATCTCTACCCCTAGATCTGCCAACACCTTCCACTCAACGCGGTCCAACCCCTGCTTCTCCCGAACGTGCTCCCAGTCCCATCCAAATTTTACGTGTGTACGTCTCTTCAATTTATGGACAACCCCTTTTCCGAGCTCTCACGGAAATGTACCACGCGCCCGCATAATTTCCTGTTCTACTTCTCCCGTGTTGAACGAACGTTGACGGTATTGACAGGAATGGAAAGTTCTGGACGGGAGGAGCGTGCGGAATGAGCCATTTATTTGTGTATGGCCTGATCAGATCTGTTGAGTTTCGGAAGTACGAGGTGGATATCCGAACACTCAATTGAAAGACGGGTGGCTTACGCTCATTATACCCAAGATTGTTTTCCTCCGTCATGGAGTCTTCCTCCTTTCTTCCATCAATCGTTGGTCATGCGACTTTTCCCCTGCTTACCCTTAATACACACCTCCTCCGCTCCTTCCCGCCATTCCAGCTCTGTTGTTATTGCCCTTTTCATCTCATCCCCATGCTCCCCCCGCTCACCGTCTGTTCTCACACACCAGTTTGTCCCGCCCTCCCCTTTCACAATTCATCAG